AATTGTTAGAAAAAGAAGAAAGTATAGTACGTACTTACAGTATGTATAGGGTGCGTCAGGTATTTGAGGACATATTGACTATAAAACTAAAATGCGTATATTTCTTAGAAAACTTATTGTATTTTATGGACTTTTTTACAGCAAAGTAAGTAACTCGTAGGCAATAAAATTATTCGATAAAATCATACATAGGCTGCTTTCCTTTTAGGAGACACAGTCGACACAAGTGTCGTTCTATCTTTGTCACTCTCTGAATATCAAGAAGGATAGAACGACATTTGTGTCGACTTGTGTCGATTTGTGTCATCAAATGGAAAGCAGCTGTAGTAATCTAAAGATTAAGATCTTGCAGGGGAGCTAGGTGGCCACATGTTTGGGGTTATGTGATCATGCAAATTCACGGACATCCAATCTTGCGTCGTCGTGGATTTATGTGAAGGAGCAGAGTCCTGTTGGAATACGTGTGGCCTTTTACCACGCACGCTATCTATCCAGGGTTTCACAAGTCCTTCCAAAACCGCAATATAGGCAGCATTCACTCGAAGTCCTTGAGGAAAGAAGTGCGGTGGCATGACGTGTCCTTCATTGCTCACCACCCCCAAAACCATGATAGTTGCCGGATACTTTGTGTGCATAACATGAGGAACTTCTGAAGGATCAGCAGATAGTCACCTATTATTTCATCGGTTTACTTTTTGATCCTGGTCAAAATTTTTTTCGTCAGAATAAAACCACAGCATATTCGAGATTTCAGGATGTTTTCACTTGCTTAGAAGTCGTTGTGCCTGGATGAATCGCTATTCTCGAGTGCGTGCAGACATAAACTGACCTTTGCGCATCACATATGATTTGTACCGGATGTCTTCGTGGACTAATGCGACGGATTGTGCACTCAGAAACCTGAAGATCTCTCGATATAGCCCTTATGGACTTTGAAGAATCTTCATCAATAATGCCCTGGACTTGCTGCACAAACTGTAATGTTCTAACTGTGTCTGAACGTGCTTTATGTGTTTTGCGCTTGGCAACACTTTGAACATTGTCATTAGATACTTCTAACTCTCGACGGGTGGCACCCAGTTGGACACGGCTCAATTGGACACGAGCCACTCACAGCGCTTGAGACTACAAAGCTCCTCAGCACCGGTCGCTGTGATTGGTGGTGTCCAATCGAGACGTGGTCAATCGGGATCACCCCCTCTCCGACGAACTTTGTGAACAAACGATCGGGCGAGATTCAAAAATTCGGAGATTTCAAGATCGCTGTGATTTGCGTGTATAGCGACGATAACAGCGTGTCTTTTCATTTCATGAGTTAGCTTATTGTCATCCATTTATGATCTGAAAGGAAAAAAGAAAGAAAAATATATTGCTGCGAAGTGACAAGCACATATGTGAGCGTCCTCAAATACCTGACGCACCCTGTATTTAATAGTATATACATTAGGGAGGGCTCCGATTGCACACATCGCATATTGCACACATGTATCGCTGATTGGCCAATTTAAAAATAAAATAATCTCATTGGCAAAACAATAAAAAATTACTAGGCATCAGTTGATATGAGTGGTGTGTACAATCAGAACTGTAGGCAAACGGGATCCTCCCTATACATTATACATACATTGTTATAGCGTTTTCGGTCCGATCGGGTTTGCACCAACCTGGGTTGGATTAATCTTTCCTATTTGTTGACGTCACACGCTCTACCAATAAGAGAGTGCAAAACGCCATTAATCTAACCCAGGTTGGTGCAAACCCGGGTGGGCCGAAAACGCTATTAAACTCTATACGTAGAGTCCTAGGACTCTAATTATACACAGTAATGAATTAAAATGGCGCTCTGATCACGTGATTTAAATAACCCCAATCAGACCATACCCTTCAATGTCGCATCTCTGTTATTTAGGTCTCTAACCTAGCCAAAATAGCAGCTGATCAATTGCGGCCACGATTTTGCTTCACAAGAGAGATGCCCATTTCAGTGTATACAGGGTGGACCATC